CAAGTGAAGGACCTATATGATAAGAACTTTAAGTCCCTGAAAAATGAAATTGAAGAAGATGTCAGAAAATGGAAAGATCTCCCATGCTCATGGATAGGCAGGACTAACATAGTAAAAATGGCAATCTTACCAAAAGCAATCTACAGATTCAATGCAATCCCCATCAAAATACCAACACAGTTCTTTACAGACATGGAAAGAATAATACTCAACTTCATATGGAAAAACAAAAAAACCCAGGATAGCCAAAAGAATCCTGTACAATAACACAACCTCTGGAGGCATCACAATCTCTGACTTCAAGCTCTACTATAGAGCTACAGTAATAAAAACAGCTTGGTACTGGCATAAAACCGACATGTGGACCAATGGAATCGAATTGAAGACTCTGACATTAATCTGCACACCTATGAACATACAATTTTTGACAAAGAAGCCAAAAGTGCACAATGGAAAAAAGAAAGCATCTTCAACAAATGGTGCTAGCATAACTCAATATCAACATGTAGAAGGCTACAAATAGATCCATATCTATCACCGTGCACAAAACTTAAGTCCAAGTGGATCAAGGACCTCAACATAATCCAGCTACTCTGAACCTACTAGAAGAGAAAATAGGAAGTAGTCTTGAATGCATTGGCATAGGAGATCACTTCCTAAATGTAACACCAGTAGCACAGACACTGAGAGAAACAATCAAACAATGGGACCTCTTGAAACTGAGAAGCTTTTGTAGAGCAAAGGATACGGTCAACAAGGCAAAGCGACAGCCTACAGAATGGGAAAAGGTCTTCACCAACCCCACATTTGACAGAGGACTGATATCCAGAATATATAAGGAACTCAAGAAATTAGACATCAAAATGCCCAACAGTCCAATTAAGAAATGGGCTATAGAACTAAACAGAGAATTCTCAACAGAGGAAACTCAAATGGCTGAAAGACATTTAAGGAATTGCTCAACATCCCTAATCATCAGGGAAATGCAAATCAAAACAACTCTTATACCTGTCAGAATGGCTAAGATCAAAAACACTGAAAACACCTTATGCTGCGAGGATGCGGAGCTAGGGGAACTCTCCTCCACTGCTGGTGGGAATGCAAGCTTGTACAACCACTTTGGAAATCAATATGGCACTTTCTTAGATAATTGGGAATCAATCTCCCTCAAGATCCAGCTATACCACTCTTGGGCATATACCCAAGGAATGCTCAATCATACCACAAGAGCACTTGTTCAGCTATGTTCATATCAGCATTGTTTGTAATAGCCAGAACATGGAGACACACACTCTTGAATCTTTATGTTTATTTCTTAAAGCAGTTTTGGGATTCTTGCATTTTCTTTTACAGACATTCTCTGTTTTGTCACTAGGGCTTAAAATAATTTATTTAAAAGAGCAATGGTTGGTGATCTCCTGCAATGAGCTCTTCCTACTCTAGTGCTGAGTTATTGTCACTCTTTTCTATGCAGACAATATTTAAAAACCAATATATACAACATGAACAAAGAGGACAAAAATGAAAGAGATTAGGCAGTGAGACAGGAAGAAGAGAAGCAAAAGGGGGAGTGGGAAGACTGACAGGACATAGGAGGAAAGTGAGGGAATGAGGGAGGGAAGGAAGGAAGAAAAAGGGGAGTTCTTTGGAGGAAAAGTCAACTGTATTCATTGAAATAAGGTGTGCTTACCCACAGCCTATTTTTTAAAAGATCTTTCCTGATTCAGAATGACCAAATTCAGCTCAGTATCTGATATTAAACAGATACCCTGAACCTATCATTTTCTTGTTCCAGTGTTGTGTTGTATCATGATACTTCCAAATGCCTGACTATGCACAAAAGGAATTTCCACTTGGATAGAAAGTACCACCACACACTCAACATATTTTACTTACCTTCTCATTGAAAGGTACCACTTATCTTGCTTAATTAATTGATCATTCTTTGTGTCTTGATTTACAGAGGTATGTCTAGTTCATAAAAATTAATCAGAATTGTAAATGTGGACATTTTTTGTTCCCATTACCACATTCAAATAATAAAGGTTAACATCATTTTCACAATGTTTGGTGTGACATCATTCCTTCTCCTAAGATATTTGTTCTGACGCATTTTGAAATATTGTTTCATTGTGATTTGGTACATCTATTATTGTAGATGCATCATGCAAATGCTTTAAAATGCCATTCATATCTTAAGATGAAGAACAGCAAATTCAAAATACTAAAGTGGCTGTCTGTAGGAGATAGAGACTTATGCTTTCTTAACCCGTAATAGTTTAAAATATAAACAAAATAATACTTAATAGAGATACTTATGGTTATACTTATATTGTAATATTTAAATGATGTAAAAGGAGAAAAGTGAAATGAAGCAAGAAAACCAATATGATAACAATGCAAAGAACCAGATGATTTCCTCTGTTACTATGTCAACCCTAATGCTGAAAGTAGAAGATATCATCCTTATGAAAATAGACAATTTGCAACATATATGGCCTGAAGATAGGACTGAAGGCTACTTTTCTAGTGTGTTGCTTTTAGGTTTAGAGTATTATTTCCAGTGGTACGGGTGTCTGTTGGTTGGCTGAATTTGCCAGGGCTGAAAATAGAACTTAGAGCATTCTTGGCACATTACTCTACCCCTGATCTTTGCAGTTTGTTTTTAATGGAGCACTGTCAATTTCAGTTTGCTTTTCTTTTTTGGTCACAGTTATAGTTTTGTCTTTTCATCTACTTCACCAAATAGTACAATATTTTAGACTGGATATATTGAAGCAAGGAAATCCTAAACTAATGAATGAAGAAGAGGTTTTAGTATCTGTAATTGTAGGATTTGGTGTAACATGAAATGTCACATTTTTATTAATAAGACCATCTTAATGGAGCCAGATATTGGGGTGAATGCTGAAAGATCAGAGAAACAGAACAAGCCACATCCAACTTCACCTCACCAACTCCTCAGCTGATCTTGTTTCCTCAGACTGAAAGTGTCTGAGTCATCACCCGAATGGGTCTCAGCTGAACTGCTCAAAAGCCTCTGTTTCCTGGTCCTCACACCTTATATACCTTTCTGCTTCCTGCCATCACTTCCTGGGATTAAAGGTGTGTGTCCTCCCCAAGCAAAGACATGAGACCTCAAATGCTAAGATTAAAGGTGTGTGCCACCATGCCTGGCTCTGTTCCCAGTGTGGCCTTAGATTTACAGAGATCTAGACAGATCTCTGCCTCCTGAGTGATAGGATTGAAGGCATGTGTGCCACCACTGTCTGGCCTCTATGTCTAATCTAGTGGCTGGCTCTGTTCTCTGACCCCCAGATATGTTTATTGGGATGTATATATCAACCACAATTTGGGGCACTGAGTTGTCAATTTTCACTAAGGGACATCATCCCTTGAGCATAAAAGATTAAAATACCTAAATCTTGTAAAATTGTTACTGTTTTATATTTATTAAATAATAAAAATATACCAAAAATGAGCTGAAATATGATTTCTTTCATCAAAACAGACAAAAATTAAATAAGTGTAAGATCTTTTTCAAGCTTATTATTTCTGCAAAATACATAGCATCTTTATTCTAAATAGAGATACCCACTAACAAGTTGGATTGGCTGAGAGATCCAAGGTGCTGCATTCAGAAACACCCAATATCATTATACACAGAAGTTATCTTCTAAATTCACAAAGATTTTTGAAATTTGAAAATCAGTACATAAATACTTTAAAATTCTAAGAAACATTTTAAAAAATCCCAGAGGAAACGAAAATACCAGAACTAACATAAAATGTCACTTTTCAAAGTGATTTTTCCCCCCCATAGGAGATTTCATGGTCAAAGTTCAAGTAAGAATTTTTTGGTATGATGAAACTTCAGAGAAGCAAAATGAACTTGGAATTGGTTTCACAAGGGTTAGATATTACATTATGAAAAGGTATACTCAGCATCCATTTCATAACTTAGCAAATAATTATATCAGGTTTACTGTTTACCAATACTTGCCTCATAATTGACTAGATAGATCAGTAGATGATAGATAGTTGGTAGACTAGTGTGATTGATAGATGATGATAGATAGATGAAGAAAGAGAGAGAGAGTAGTTCAGATGGATCCCGCTCTCATAGATTTCATGCTATCACAAAACCTGAGAGAATGAAGAGACAGCTGCTGGAGAAGATCCCAGATGAGCTGAACCAGAAAGAAAGAACAGCACGGCCATGGGTAGACAAAGACTGAAAGGAAAGTGTTCGGAGAGAGAAGACATTCAAGTAACAGCACGGGAGAAATGAGGAGGAGGATTTCCTCCAGAGAATGGGATTAATTAGTCAAGCTGAGGTACAGAATGCAGAATTGCATCACAGATGAAGGAGATAGGTCTGGAGCGTTGATCAGAGGCCATTCCTCAGAAGCAGCACACTTTGGGCTTCTGAAACAGTGATGGGAAGGCGTTGAAAGAGTATGTGGGAGACCAGCTCCCACTCTTTCCCCAGGGTACTCTTGAGGAGAGAGGGATAAAAGATTGAGGTAGAAGGATAGAGGGGAGAGTAACACATGGAATCACAGGATAGCCTTGGGAGGGCCTGGATCCAAAGGCTCCTTCTGTCTCTACTAAATGGCTTTTTATAGGAATGCCAAGGGGTAGAGCAAAAGAACTCCCCTCCCCCAGCACAGCCAAGTTCAAAGTCTTCTAATCACCTAGTGACCATACACGTCATCATGCAATCCTCTAATGCAGACCTGCTGGGTAAAGCAAGCTCAGATCTCACTAGGAAACCTTTGTGGGCCCCCACAAAATTCTTAACAGGGTCAGTGTTTGTTTGGATTGTAAAATTTAGGGGCCTTAAAATCACCTAGAAGATATACCTCTTGTCATGTCTTTGAGGGTGTTTCTAGAGAGGATTAATTTAGGTGTGGAAGACCAACCCTTAAATGGACACCTTCCAATATATGGTCCAATTATTAAGGGGTGCAAAGCAATAGCAATGTGCATATGCTTACCTTTTCTTCTTCATGAGTCAGTGTGCATAGCCTCTGATTCATCCTCCACTGATAGAAAACTTCATGTTTCCAACATGGATTCAATGCCAGAAACTCTAAAGGGATTTCCCATGTATTTATCACTGGATTGGGGCCGCTGAGGGATCCAATTTCATGGGCTGAATAACTACTTGTTTCTCTGCTTCTCTAGTACACAAATAGCCATTGTTGGACTAATCAGCCCCTATTTTGTAAGCCAGTCTCATAAATCTCCTTTTGTAATTGTTATGTTCTGTTGGTTCTGTTCCTCCAGAGAACATTCCTTAATACAGGAAGAAATGAGGTTTCCACAGTAGAAATGCAGCTCTGGATGTGAAGATAACAGAGTGGACTGTGAGGTAAAATTTAGTGCCAGTCAGAAATTAGAAAATCCTGGCTTAAGGAATGGGTACATCATTCAGTTGATAGAGTGCTTGCTCAGCAGGCAAAAAGCCCAGGATTTGGTAGTGGGCACCTTATAAATGGGCTGTAATCCAAACACCCAGGAAGGATGATCAACATTCAAGGTAGTTTTGAACCAGTCTAGATAAAACAAGTGATTGTGTCAAAACCAAATAGCATCTAAGAAAGTGTTAAACAAAACAAAAGCAAAAATAAATAAAATCTTGACATGGATAATATATATTATATTAATATGGAAGATGCTGGTTTCAATTACAAATGTATAAAAAGATAGTATAAATATTATGTTGTGATCAATTGAATATGCCAACTATAACATGAGCCTTGCATTATGAACACAAAATTATGATCAGTGTTATAAGTCTGAACCCACTTATTGTGCATACAGAAGATAAACCAGTTTGCATGCTACTGTTTTTAGGCTGACTGCCTAAAATCTAATGAAAGCCAGTAGACAACTAGATATTTAGCTGAAATGTTCCAAAGAGAGGGCCAGATTTAGGCTATAAACACGGAAGATGTAAGCAGAGTTGAGGGTATTAAGTAAGATGTCTAAGGAAGAGGAATGATGCCATTTCAAAATCTAGATGTGTGTGTTTGTGTGTGTGTGTGTGTGTGTGTGTGTGTGTGTGTGTGTGTGTGTGTGTGAAAATTGAAATTCTATACCTAAGTGTTTGCCACCAAGTCTGACAGTTATTGGCCACATGATTGGATTTAATGATGTCTGGAAGATTGGTGAGGCAAACTTGTGGGTGTGTCTGTGAGGGTGTAACCAGAGGTCAATCCAATATGAGGGTTCGAATCTAATGAAGGATTTCCAGGTTTGAACAGGCCACTGCATCATGGTAAAGAGTGTGGAAGTTCAGGCCTTGGAGTAAGTACAGAGAGAGCTTAACTTCAAAATAAAATACTTTTAATTTTCCTTTTAAGATGTCCTTTCATGTATTTTTATCATAACCTGGAAATGCTAATTAACACACATAGGTATGATGCCCTCCCAGTGTCCTGAAACCTTGATATGTAATTGGTACCTTGAATAAAAATAATCATATACCTCAATTTCTTGGACTGGAGATCAGTGTGCCAATGAAAACACAATAATCTATAAAGACCTTGAGAAGTTTCTACAGATGAAAGTTGGGAGTTCATTTAGAACTTAAGAGAAAGGAAGAGTAATGTTCCTTTTTTGTGAAGTTTGATTGTGAAGAAGAAAGAGATCAGTGCATATATCTCCTTAGTGATAAGGTGAAGCATGATCCTAATTAGTCTTAATAAAAACCCATCAAGGGTGAAAGCTGAAAGATCAGAGAAGCAGAGCAGCAGCCACTAGAAACTTATCTCTACGAATTGAATCCTCAGATTGAATGGGGGGCCAAGATCCTGTCTCCACCTCCCTAGTGCTAGGATTAAAGGCATGCGCCACCACTGCCCAGCTCTGTTTCTCTTTTAGACTGATTCAGTCTTGTGTAGCCCAGGGTAGCCTTGAACTCCTGATCTTCCTGCTTCCTCTTCCCAAGTGTTGGGATTAAAGGTGTGTGCCATCACTGCCTATCCTCTATGGTTAACTAGTGGCTAGCTCCACCCTCTAATCTCCAGGCAAGCTTTATTTGTCAGAACACAAACAAAATATTATACAACAATAAGGTGAGCCTATTAGCTAATTATTTGTTTTTATTACAAAATAGCCAGGCAGCCAAGGGGGAAGTTGCACTACTGCTGCACAATAGAGCTAAGGAAAAGTGTGCCTGAACTAGAGGAGATCATTTTTTGGGTACCTCTTGGTGTTACCATGTCCAATGCTTAAGGTCAGTGAGAAGCTACAACACCCTAATCCAGGCAAGATGATAAACAGCCCAGACCCACCAGGAATGAAAGCTAGGGTCATCTCTCCTGGAAAAGAACCAAGAGGCACTAGCTAATGGTGAAGAAAATACAGAACAGTTAGTATATAAAATCAAACTAAGGCCATGTGTCCAGTCACAGAAATTGAAAGTTTCCCAGTTTGGAGGTCAAGGGGGTCATGAGCTAGATGGTCTTTATAGGTAAGACTTTATTGAAAGTTTTATTAATGTTGTAGACAGAGAACAGCATGACAGGGACTCTGAGAAGAGTTCAGGCCCACAGTGAGAATCTCTTCATATAGGTTTCAAAGGAAGAGGAGTGATTGGTTTGCACTTATCCTGGGTAGGCTATAGTACTCAGAGTATGTACTTACAGTCAGGCTGGCTCTAGATTGCTGGGTGACAGGGAAAGGGGAGAACTCTGATAGCTTTGGTGTTGTATGTGAAATCAGATGCTAGAGTAGGGAAAGCAAGCATCTAGAAAACAAGTTATTAGATGAGCATTATAGAATAGTGTGGCAGTGGCTCACAGAAACCAGGACTATAATTGGCACAAGTATTTCAGTCCTATTTTGTTAGACATTTGTGCACATATATGGATATATTAAGCAGAAACTTGTATTTTCTCTCCTCTATTAATTTATAAATAATGCAATATCAGTTGAAACAACTTTCACCAGATAAGTGTATGAATCTGTGTTTTCATATTTAAGCTACAGGATACTAAAAGACTAAGCATTTTTCAGGATATTTTGTTTCCAATTCTGTAGAAGGATGGTTGTGGTATAGCTGGAAGTTTTCCTGTGTCCCACCTGGTCTGTAGCCACTCAGACTCAAGTAAACACACAGAGCCTTATATTAATTAAACTGCTCAGCCATTAGCTCAGGCTTATGACTGACTAGCTCTTACACTTAAACTCAGCCCATTTCTGTTATTCTATATGTTGCCACATGTTCTGTGGCTTTACCTGTGTGCCAGTACATGCTGCTCCCTGGACAGCAAGCTGGCATCTCCTGACTCAGCCTTCCTCTTCCCAGACTTCTTGTCTGCTTATCCCACCTATACTTGCTGCCTGGCTACTGGCCAATCATCATTTTATTAAACCAGTGTACAAAAGCATTACTCCACAGCAGTGTGTTTTTTATTATACATTGGATAGTTGTGTAAGGTGAGATTGTGACTTTGCTCTTGTCTTCATTTAGAGATTAGGCATAGCAGAAGAAGAAAGATGTGTTTGGGTGTCAAGTGACAAGAGATGGACTTGTGATAGATAATATTAATTGTTAACTTAGCAGGCTCTAGAAGCACGATGCAGCAAGCCTCTGGGCATACTATATACGTGTACATCTTATGACAGCCGCAGGCCCAGATGCTAGAAGAGTCAAGGGGAAAGCTTTGGCCTTTCTCCTGCTTGTCACTGTGTCTTGGGTAGGGACAACCTGCTGTTGTTACTTGTGCTGTTCCTGCCCCTCAGGCTGCCACCCATCACTGATATGAGAACCCAGGTTCTTTGGCTTCACAGCACCAACTAAAGACCAGTGGCTCTCCAGGAATCCTACAGGCCTTCAGCACCAGATTGGGAATACTGAGACATTGAGCCTTGTGCATTGAGTGATATTCAGCCTCTCCAGTGGGAAGTCAGCTGTTGTTTCACTCACTACCCAGATCCAGATCTCATTTTGTAAGGCAATCTACTAAAATCCCACTTAATATGCATATTGATCCTATTGACTCTGTTCCTCTACAGAATTCAGATGAAGGAAAGAGCTTATTCTTTTGGGGTAAGGATAATTCTGTCTTTTCTCCAAAAATTATATTTAAAAACTCTCTTATAAAGATGAATTCCTGCCAGGCATGATAGGACATGTCTTTAATCCCACCCAGAACTTGAAAGACAGAAGCAAGTGGTTCTCTGTGAGTTCAGGGCCAGCCTAGTCTACACAGCAAGTTCCAGCTACACAATGAATCTCTGTTTAAAAAAAAACCTCAAAGCCAAATATTTTTACATATGAATAATTAATTATTATATGCACTTAATTTACTGAATTTTTCCCCTATGTGAACTAAAGCAAAAGAAGTTAAAATTTATAGACATTTTAACTTTTTTGGAATCATTTTAGCATTCCTGAATGGAAGCTTTTTACCTAGCTGTAGAATTATTTGCATATCACTCACACTATATGCCGGTAACCAAACAAGAATTTATAGTTTAAATCAGTTTGATTTATCTGAAGAGTTTAATCTTTAATGTGAACATTTAAAAAAGTCAAATTATGCTTAAAGAATCCTGCTTCCTTCCCTAGGTGCACTGACTAATTTCTTGGTGAGCTTTCATCATTCAGAGGTCTGGTGACTCTCTGTTGTAAAAATTCATGCTCTGTGTTTTTCCTTCCCATTAATGGGTGTTATGCAACAGGAGGGAAGAGCAGCGTCAGACTATGTGACTAATAGTATCCATCCTTTCTTCCCTATTGAAAGCTTGCTTGTAAAGCATCCTGTTTCTCTATCTAGTTCAACAGAGTAGATACCATGCACTGGACAGGCAGTGACACACTGAATCCACCTAGTTCAGACAGTTAAAATTGGGTCTGCAAAAGTGGAACTAATGTGCTTAATATCTGGTTGATAGAGATCCAGTCAATAGCTTAGGTTCTTATAATGACTTAGAGATACTGAATTGGGCCCTCCCTGTGTTCTGAGATTCTCACCAACTGCTACTCCTGACTGGTGTTTTGATTTCTCTTTTGCCTTTGGGACTGGAGGGGGAGTGAGTAGGCAGAGAAAGAGATGTATACTCATATACTCAGCTCATAGTAACTTCAATTAGTTGCCAACCAAAAGATTTTTATCCT